AAAAATATCGGTGGCGACTCCATAGAACCCAAAACAAATAAGTCCTTGGGTTAGCCCGGTTATCGGACAACCCAAGGACACTTTTTGAAAACCTCGCCCCTAGGTTAGCCCGGTTATCGGACAACCTAAAGGCGTTGTAACCACCAATAAGAAACGCGAAAATAAAAAAAGAAGAGTCGACAAACCATCGCGTCGCTCCGACCGCGCCCCCTTTTTGGGGAGGCGGCGACAGATGGCGACTCCGCTGGGGAAGCCTAGAGAGTTGATCCCATTTAGTGATGGGCTGGCTTAAAAATAATTAAACCAAGAAAATAGCGCTTTTACCCTGCCTTGTATTATAACATGCTTTATTGTTTGGCTTTCAAATAACTGTTGCTTGTTTCTACTTACGCAATTGATTGAAATATAAATTGCACACAAAACCCTTGCACACTACAGTTCCCTCTATACCCGGGGGCAAGTGAGAAAACCATAGGGAGTGGGTGGCAGGTACGGTTCGCTGCAGTTAGGGCCTTGTGCCCACCAGTGTGATCGGAAACCACCACTCAAGGTGATAACCTTCCTCTTTTGGCAACAAGACCGACTCCGGCCTTAGTGCTGAGCATGGTTGGATGGCTGGAGAGTGGGGACCCTATAATGGGGGCACCTTGGGGACCTTAGCCTGGTGAGAACAGATAGAACCTACCCTAACCAATGCACCCTTCTGCAGGAAAACCCTACCTCGTGATAAAAACGAAGTCTCGCCTGTTCGGGGATGATCGAATTGTGTGTACATATGTTTGTTGCATTTGTATGTTGCATAGCATAAACAAACAATAGAACAAAAAATCACAAAAAATATATTTTACAAATAAACACCCTTATCTCGGACAATCTGCCTTTTAGCTAGCCTGGTTTCAGGTTCTTTGTAAGCTAAGTAGCCACGCAGTTCCGACAAAAGAGATAAGGGACATTAAATATTCTTTCGCATAAAGCCATACTTTATCTCGGACAGTCTGCCTTTTAGCTAGCCTGGTTTCAGGTTCTTTGTAAGCTAAGTAGCCACGCAGTTCTGACAGAAGAGATAAAAGACTATAAAATAGACAAATAAACATCAAATGAAAATCAAAACACCAATAATACAAAAATAAATCATCTCCTGACAAAGTCAATACATTCATACTATATCATATCATGAGTAAAGAAAAACCAAGAGAGAAAATAAAAATGGGAGTACATTCAGCATCATTTAAAAATCTCTCATGCATAAGCATACTCCATGCTAGTTCAAGCACTCAACATGCATTAATAAACTTTTTCGGACATTCTAGAAAGTGGCTGGTCCTCTCCCCACTCGTACTCGTGCACAAAAAGGCTAAGGCAATGGAAAATTTGGAAGAGCAAAACCGCAAGCTTACTGCAGAGGTTAACATCCTCCGCGAACAGATGGCCCAACTAATGGAGGTCGTACGCCAGGGACAGAGCAAGGGAGAAGGCCAAGCTGAACATACCCCTCCTCATGAGGAAGAGGAGGAGGAATACTTTTTCGGCGATAAGGACGCCAAGACTGCATGCGTCCTTACCCCAGAGGTGTCTAAACAACAACTCTCCGCCCTGGAGGAGAGGCTGAAAGTAGTCGAGGGGCATAACTTCGACGTCAAGGAGGTGGCTGACATGTGCCTCGTAAAGGACATTCGCTTCCCTCCCAAATTCAAAATCCCAGACTTCCCCAAGTACGCTGGGATGACCTGCCCCAAGAACCATCTTACGATGTATTGCCGTAAGATGGCCGCCCATTCTGACAACGAAAAACTCCTGATCCACTGCTTCCAGGAGAGCTTGGCAGACACCGCGCTTAACTGGTACATGCAATTAGAGAGAGGGCAGGTCCAGAACTGGAAACAGCTGGCAGACGCTTTCCTCCGTCGTTACCGATATAACATTGATCTGACACCTGACAGGTCAGATCTTAGAGCTTTGAGCAAGAGGAACGACGAGCCCTTTAAAGCGTATGCCCAAAGATGGAGGGAAATGGCAGCCCAAATAGAGCCTCCTTTGACGGACAAGGAGACAGTGGCTATGTTTATCGACTCACTGACAGGAGCGTACTACGACAAGGCGATAGCTAGTACCTCCAACCTTTTCTCAAACATAGTCACTGTTGGGGAAAGAGTGGAATAAGGACTAAGGAGCGGGAAGATAGCACAGTCTTCCCAAACTGGTGCCTCCTTTAGGAAACCTGTTGGCAAGAGGAAGGATGAATTTGTGCACGCAATCAATTTTGCCACTCCTTCTTCTACCACACAAACGCCCAGGCAATCCCGCAGGAAAGAAAGGAAGTTCACTCCAATCTCCACTACCTACGGATTGCTGCTACCTCAACTGCTGGAGGCTAAGCTCCTGACCTGCGTCCCTCCCAAGAAACAGTTGGAGCCTCCCTACCCCGAATGGTATAAGCCAAACAAAAAATGCGCCTACCATTCGGGCTCACCCGGTCACTCTATAGAAAATTGCTTGACCC